CTGTAACAAATCATTCCTTGGTTGCCTATGCTAAGCCTTTGTGCACAGAAATGTGTTTTAATTTTTTGCAAGGCCATCTGGGCCCTTGAGGAAACTCTAGATCTGCTACTTATGCCTGGGGAGCAGGTTACTTCTTGCTCGGTTTCGTCATCAGTAAAACAGGAACAACAGTATCCATCCCAAAAGGCACAGGTGTAGATTAAACGAGAGGGTATTTGTAAAGAATTTATCAAGTGTCTGGAGCTCGATAAATGGTCGTTATTACTATTGTTAATGTCTTCATATCTGTTGTGTTGTGCAAATAAAAAGGAAATATGATGATCACAGATAAATTACAGCATCTGAAACCTATCTTTGAATATACTTAAAATATGAATTTTTTAGAAATCAATTTAGTACCTACGGCAAAAATCACTGATTTAATAATTTTAATCACATATATGACTAATTCCATGAAAGAGTTCATTTTCAAGCTACGATTTTTTGTATTCACAATTTTTTCACATGAAGTAGAATCCTGCTTTGGCATTTCTTCTTTTTAAAAATGTTTTATTTTGAGCTAATTTGAGAATTACAGAAAAGTTGTAAAAACAATAAGAGTACTCACATAGCCATCACTAGTTTCTAATGCTAACATTTTAGGTAACTATGGTATAATGATCAAATTTAAGAAATTAACTAAACATCTTCCTCACTTGAGTTTCACTGGCTTTTCTACTGATGTCCTATTTTGTTTTCTGTTCCAGATCCAATCTAGGATCCTTTGTTGCATCAAGTTGTTGTCTTAGTTTCCTATGACCTCTGACAATTAGTGCCTCAGTCTATTTTCACCTCTCATTACCACAACACTTTTGAAGAGGACTGATGAGTTATTTTATTGACTGTCCTTCAATTTGCCTGATGTTTCGTGAACTTTGACTGAGGTGGTGCATTCCGGGCAGGAGTCATGCAGAGTGATGCTGTGTTCTCCTCTGCACATCATATCCGAGGGCGTGTGATGTCAGCAGGCCTTACTCCTGGGACGTCAGCCTGGATCACTTGGGTAAAGTGGTTTCTGCCACTTTCTCCAAAATAAGGTCACTATCTTTCTCTTGGTAGTTAAGAAATATCTTTGGGGAGATGCACTGAGAATCTGTAAATCCTATTTCTCCTCAAACTTTTGCCCACTAATCGTAGCATCTACCAATGGATCTTTTCTGCAACAATTACTTCTGTGGTGTTTGCCTAGTGGTGATTTTCCTTTTTTTTTTTTTTTTTTTTTTTTTTTTTTTTTTTTTTTTTTTTTTAACTACAGCCATATTTTCATATGTCCTATATGCCATCAGTTCTTCAGTTCATTAATTGATATACTCCTTTTTTTTCAGCAGTTAGTCTCGACCCTTACAGCATTCATAGTGTAGCTTTCCTCCCTTTCAAGTCCTCTCTCTCATTATATTTTCGACATACTCCAGCAACAGAACGAAACCTAAGGCAATGCCTTTTTATTAATCGGCTAACTGGGCTATCGCTGTACAGTGAAAAGTAAGGCTGAAGTTATACAGATAGCTGGTTAATAAAAAAATTATTATAATTCATTTCCAGGCCCCCCAAACTTGAATAATTCGATTTCTGTGACTGATATTTGATTAGTTCAACCCCCAGATCAAGGCTGAGGTTTATGTTTCCTTTAAGGCTGCACAGACACAGCTACACTGTGAAAAGGTAAATTTAAGTTTTATTATATTTTATAAGCATTTAGATTAACATGGGATGAAGAATGTTGTATTGACCCAAACCATCACCGGAGAGACCACAGTGCTCCCTGACTGTCCTTGCTGTGGGTCCAGGACATCACTTAGTTGTTACACCAATAGCACCTGGTGCCACCTAGTGGAGCCCCTGACTACTACACAGTCTCAACATTTGAGAGAAGAAGCTGAGCATTCAGAGGCTGGATGCAAGTCATGAGTGTGAAGAGAAGCCTCTGACAGCCAGGGAGGCCAGTACCCCCTAAATGTCACATTAGTGGCATGAGAAGGCATTAAGAATCTGTGGGGAGAGGAGGGGTTGGAGTGAGTCATGGCAGGTCCAGGCGTTTTCACAAGTGAATGGAATTTAGCAGGATAGGAGTGGACATGCAGGCTTTGTGTGAACAGAGAGGAGATGGACGGCTATAACACACAGAAAGCCAAGGTAGGAGGAAGCTAAGGGTCTGCAATGGAGGGTTCTACGGTGACGAAATCAGAAAGCTAAAGTGAGCCAGACTCTGACGTGCCTAGAAGGATGAGGGGAGAGAGGCTTTATTGTGAGCTTAATTAAGGTTTTGAGAAAATTAAAGGGCCCAGGAACTCAGAGTTCTGGGATGACCGATGTCAGTGCCAGGGCGTATCCTGGGGAAAGGTGAGGCTGACAGAGAGAGATATGTGGATGTCCTCAGGGGTGCCAGTGATCTCCAGGTCCTGAGGCTCAGAGCCTGGGGATCCCCAGACCCAGCAACACATTAAATATGGGACCAAGACTGAATGACATGGCCTGCCCATGTGTGGACTAGTTCTTCAAGGAGACATCGGTGCTACTGCAAAGTATTTCTGAATTTACCATAGTTCGTTGTCTGACTGTACTTATTTCCTCACTCAGTGAATAATGAGAGCGCATCTTACATCCCATGGGACCATCCCCTCATGCCTGCATGCCTACATACTAACTTATCTTGGACAGTATTCGCTCAGACACGGTGAGGTCCAGCTAGTCCAGGAGCAAAGACGGAAAGGTTGGAAAGTTTCAAAGGGAGGATCCCCAGACTTGCTGCCCAGTGGATTTGAGCAGGAAGAAGAGAAAACCTCCTGGAGTCAGAGAATCTTAGCTCTGCAAGGGTGGGAGAGGAGCTCCCCCAGCCTGCCTCCTCCTGCACGGACACCTCAGACAGGCTCCCTGACTTGAGGCTTTTGGGGACAGACCTGCAATAGATGTTTACAAACTCCAATGTTAGGCAGCCCTATTTGTTGCAAGGTGTTCTATGATGAGCCAAAATTGGCAATAGTCACTTCCACCCACTGCTATGGCCCAGAGGTAGAGCATGCTGCACAGATAACTTAATTCTTGGCTGGCATAAGAACGTCAACATCCGTGCCTTCCTAGACCTGGATGCTGTGCCCCTAGTCATGGATACAAGGCCTCACTGAGGCTCATGTTCAGTCCTCGCAAAAAGACATGGAGAACCTATTTCAAACCTCGGCATGGGGCTTTACAGTTACTCCTGTTAAACTTCATCTCTACTCTCTGCCCTTTAGGATACACATAGTCATGTATTTCTTCAAGTCACTGATAAAGCCCAAGCCCAGACAGAGGGCTGGGGACGTTCCGGTTGTTGCACTCTAGATGATACTCAGAGGCAACTCCCCGCAGCTTGAGTCTGTCCTTCTCACACTCTGGAGCCCAACCTGAAGCAACAGTCCAGCTCCTGCTACCAACACAGGCCTTGAAAGGATTGTGCTGCTCTTTGCTCTCCCATTTGCTCAAAACAAGAAAGCAAAACAGAGACACCAGTTTTGAGACTCTTCCACTGTGTACTAAAGGACAGATGCTTGCCTCACTCCAGGTGACAGCATGCAAAATCCAACACGAGTGACAATTAGTGTCCCAGAGGGCTCTCTGAGCCTACAAGACTAGGGTCCACAGATATCCAACAGGATAAATAACGGCCATTTTCACTCTCCTACAAAGGAAATTCTGGATACTAGATGCCAGCTAAGGTGGGCTCCTGAACTCCTCTGCTCTTTCTAGAATGCACAGTAAGCTACTGTGGGTAGATATCAAAAGCAGCAGAAAGACAAATCCATTCTGCTCACACACAGTCATATCTAGAAGCACCTTTTCCATTCCAGGTCCCCAGAACTTGCCCACCCTGTCCACCACACCCAGCACACATTTAGAATTCTCATCCCTGCTGTGGTGCAGAACTCAACAAGGACACTTTTATACCAAAGACATCTTCCCAATTTGTCCTTCTCTGTCTCCCCATCACCATGACTAATTTCTTCTTAGGAACCAGCTCTAGGCTCAGATCCCCTCTCATTTCCTGACTCTTTCTCCATCAGCTCCCTTCTGAGTCCTTCCTCCTCCATTCAGAAATGGAGTGCTAGATACAGCCTCCTTTCTTCTCTCCTTTCTACAGATCGAGATGTTCTGTAGGCTTTCACCTTTAGCTGAACTGCATCTCCTCTTACATCTGCCTTCCCTCACTTTCCACCCAGCAGACTCCTGTAAGACCTCAGTCAAATGCTACCTTTTAGGCCAAAACAAGTTGACTGCCTGTTGCCTGCGGAAGCCCAGTACCAGAGACCACCCGGGACAGAGCTCTTTTCCCTCCAGAATGCTCCTTAGCAGCCTTCACTAAAACAGTACTGCAAAAATAATAGTGTTCTAATGACACATACAATGCAGATCTTAGAAGGCTACCAAAAGGGGTGAAGTCAGGCTCCCCTTTCCTTTCTACCTGACTCGCAGGTGAGCTGACCAGCAGCTCTGCTCAGCTGATGATTTCCTCTTACTACTGCTGACTTTGCCTCTTTAGTTAAATTTTTAGTTAATTTATCAATGCTAGTGATATCTAAATTGTGTCCCCTTTGGTCTTTGATGCCCTAAAACCAAGAACCAAATTCAATGCCACATTATGCGAACTATCTTATTTTAGCAAGCTAGACTGTTGATTCCAGTAGTTTGCTTCAAATTGCCTCGTTAATGTTTTCATCATTATATTATTTCTTAAGTAAGTTCCAATTTGTATGCTAAATAACTCCCTTTGAAGTAGGGAGAGTGTATGTAAACTTAAAAAACAGCTTACATGAAGATGTGGTTAACAGCCTCTCACCCACTATTATCAGCATTCTGTTGGACGGTCTTTCTGGATCCCAAGGGTGGAAGATGTGCCCAATCATGCAGGCAATGCACGGGGAGGATTTCTAGAAAACTCCGCAGTCCACAGCAGCACTTTCCCTCCTGGCCTTCCCTGCAGCTCTTACCTGATATTTTCACTGGACTTTGAAAGCTGGGTTGAATTTTATGTACATTGTCATTTTTTAACACCTGATCCAGAGGAGATCTTTCAAAGAAGGTGAGCACGACTTCTGACCTAGAATACTAGGAAGAAATATGTTCATTACTAAAAATTAATCCTCTGCAAGGTGGCTCCATCTGATGCTAATGCCCTTGAGTTGTTCAGAGAGCCCGTGGGACTGAGTACACCAAAAAGGCGATCACTGAAGTTTTGTTTATTTATGGCCCCAGGTGGCTAAAATGCAAGGCCCCAGGATAGGTAGGATGTGCTTAATAGAAATAGCTAGTTTTTCTGAGTGCTTGGTTCCTGCCAGCTTTTTGCACACATTCCCTTTCATTTCTCAGTAAACTGTGACCATGCCCGCCCTCCCCATCCACAGAGGAGGAAACAGAAGCTTATAGGACCTAGGTGGTCTGCCCGACTCAAGACCAAGTTCTTAATCACTACTGCACACGAAGCTTGCAAACTTCGCTTAAAGGCCACCTGCCAATGTTAATGCTGACATTCCCTTTGGCTCTCACAGGCCCTCTTCTCAAATGACCTCAGTAAGACCAGTGTGCTTCTACAGAGGCAAGAAAGCGAACACCACCATGGTGGAGGGACCGTGTCCCTTCCTACTTAACACCTCCTTGGCCCCTCAATTCTACCTCTCCCCCTGGGAGAAAAACAGAGCTACTAGAACCCACAGAAGTCTCCCTTTCCCCGGTTATATCCATCCACCTCCCCAAACCTGATACTTCCAACCACTGGGAGCAAGCAGGTTGGTTATCTAGAAGCTGGCAGGATGTGCCGAAGCCTCCCACCCAGCCTGGCCCTGATGGCACTTACTTTACACGGCATGCTTATGACGGTCTTCAGCAGCTTCTCCACCTCATTGAGCCTGGTCTCTATATCATGAGCATCCTTTATGGCGACCAGTCCTAGAATTGAGACAGAAATGCCTAAAGTCAGAAAAACAGACCAGGAAATGTACTTCTAAATTAATTGCAGGCAGTAGGCATCCTATGATGAGGATGCCATCCCCCAGTGTCATCGTCCACCAAAGATATCTGAGACTATCTGCTCAGTCTCACTCATGTACATACCTCCCTACCCTGAAACCCCTGCTCTATGTCTCATGTTAACTTTCAAAAGTCAATGATTTACATGTGTACTGGAGTGGACATTGCCCATTCAAAAGGAGAAGTCTGGCAGGCTGGAGACAGTGGAATGAGTAGAGCACACAGGCATATGAGGGAACTATCCAAGACCCCTCTGAGCAGGATAGTCTCGTTCAGCTCCATAAATGCCCTGGACTCAGTCAGCGCTCAGCCGGTGCTCAGACAGGGACCACTCAGCCTCTGCCAGTGTGGTAGCTGTAGCCAGGGAAGTTTGCTCAAGATCCACCCACTCCCAAAAATACAAAGGAAAGACTCACTTTGCTGGCCACCATGACCTGATCACAGGGCCCATATAAATGTAGCCCATATTTAGACGAGTCATTTAAATGCAGGGTTTGGAAGGGAAAAATTCAGACCTCTACCCAGAGAAAAACAAAGTGGGTATGACTCATAGCACTCTTCAGGAATCTGTCTATCCTTGTTACAGTTACCAGAAGTCTCAAGTGGCTGTTAAAAAGTACAGTATTTTGTTTTTAAAATACTATAGCTTGCAGTACGGAGATTCGGGGTATGTTTCTGTCTCCCCATGCAGAGTGCAGAACACAAATCTTCCCATTATAGTTTCTATACACTGGCTTCCTATGGATTAGAATTAGATTCCTTAGGAAACTGGCTTCTTTCCTGTACTTCCTATTACCTAGGATGACTGTCTCTGTGAGCTATGACCAAACCACAGGGACTGAAATCACAGAACTATTATCAGTTACTGAATCTAAGTTCTCCAGAAGTTCTGGTTCCATTTTGTTTTATAGAAGAAAAGGTAGTTCATTTTTCAAGGCAACTCATTGACTGAGAGTCTGCCTAAGAGATAAAATTAATTTCCTAAACTACATGATTGAAATGAAGAGGTCCAGAACATATGGTGCTTAGACACCAGACATAGGGCGAGGGCATTTCTGAAAGCATGGGCTACAGCAGGGGGACCCTCCAAATGTCAGCTGGAGTCAAGGCCAGGAGTCATTCTCCTGACTTCCTAAGGCATAGGCCACTTTGGGTGCCGGTGTCCTTGCTTGTTTCTGCCTACCCTCCTCAGCCACACTGGCCCAGATGGCCAGCTAGCAGCTGTCCAGGGAACAGGAGCCCCAGAAGTGGCAGGGTGGGCAGTGGCTTGCCCACTGGGAAACCCCGGGCCTCTATCACACAGCTCATGCACATACTTGAGCACAATGCCTAAGCTGTCACCACAAAAATGGACCAGGCCACCTCCTCTTCCTCTTCCCTAGGTTGCCACCACCACCACACCACCCTGCATGGTGGGGAAAGTAGGGAGGAGAAGGAAGAAAATATCAGAGTGCCAGACTCTCAGGATGCCTCTTCAGACTCTGAATTCCTTGCACAGAATTTCAAACACACACACATACACACACACGCTGCACCAAAATGCTTTGATCTGCTTGCTACAGGGAATTCTACAGAAGGAAAGAGGGCCAATGCAAAATCCTCTGAGAAGCTGTTTTGAAAGAGAGGACAATTATGTAAATCATTACCACAAAATGCTTCATTATTCCAAGAGAAGCGAAGCTATTATTATATTTCAACTTTTATTACAGTTAGAATACTAGTTTTAAATCAATCAAGTTTATGAGACAGTAGTAGTATTTTATGTTCTGTGGTACATTTGTAGGAAGGTTAGCCTCTTGTATGGTGAGTACATACAGCAAATTTACACCCATTTTATAGGTTGTAAAGTACATTTTAATAATCTTAAATCAGTATAGAGGTTTATAATTCTTGTATCATGCATTAGGAACATGTTTTGTTACATCTAAGATGTAAGTAATGTTCAACCCATGGCTGAGTTAATAACTTTCAGGGGTAAGGTTCAGGTAAATACATTCTGCTCTATACTGATCTTTTAAGGTGGCCAGATTTAGCAACTAAATCACGGGATGCCTAGTTAAAGATGAATTGCAGATAAACAATGAATAACGCAATAGGATGGATAGACTTTTAAAAAATTATTTGTTATTTATGTGGTGTTCTGTATTTTATCTGACAACCCTATCTTCTTGGTAACTCATTTTCTAGAATGAACTAGAGAAAGGCAAGAAGTATGTGGTCAGGCCTCTGGAAACAGTATCAGTGTTTTAATTCAGTGCACAGACCTACCCCGACCTGACCCCAGCCCACCTTACTGGCCATGTGCCCTGTGACTCCCCCACACCCTAATGCCAACCTCCAAGGAACAGGTTCATTCTATCCAAACACAACCCCTGACTCTCATGCAGCACTGCTGCTGGAGGAACCACTCCTGCTGACCTTACCCCACCTCCAGGCTCCTGTATGAGAAAATTCCACCCATCCCTTAAGGGAGCAGACATGCTCTCTGCTCTGTGAAGCCTTCCCCACACTAGAGAATGAGACTTGGTGTGCCTCTAGGCTCCCAGGGAACTCTCTCCTGACCTCTGCAGCATTCACTACGCTGTACTATAACTGCTCCTTCACCTACAAGTCTCCCCAAGCCCGCCCTGCAAACTTGAGGGGAGGAGGTACTTTTGGTTCATCTCACTTTTATCAGCAACCAGGACAGGGCCCGACACAGGCACGGGATTCAATGTCTGCTAGCTGCTTATTGACTCAATAAAGTTGCCTAAGAGAGCACAAAAGTCAAGTATTACTTATCTCCTGTGAGTGTGCTCCATCTTGCTCATGGGGTGGTAATTTAGTTAACACATCACACACAGCCAGACAGCAGCCAGAACCAACTGGCCAGCCAGCACCAAGTCATGGGCATCATAGGAGAGCTGCCTGAAGAGGGCAAGGTGGCATTAAGTGTACCAAGCCATGGGCCATCCTGATTAGATTTTATTTGTGGAAGTGTGCAGAACCACATTGCTTCTTTTTTCCTGTCTTTCTGTTTCTGAATGGAAGTCAAATGGTACTCCTTGGGAACAGAATCATGCTTCAAAACAAAGGAAGGTGGAGGAAATTTAAATGGAGGAAAAAAAAGATGCTGGAATCTCTCTCTGCTAGAAATGACAAATGATTTTTGTTTAAGCTCTGGGCTTTTAGCTGGGGACACTTTTTTTTTTTAAATCATTTACTCCCCCATCATGGCTTCCTGGGTAACAGTGACATTGGCAATCTGGATCAGCTTTCTTAAGGTGCTGTCCTCATTTCTCTGAGAAAATTTATGTGTGTGAATGACAACGAGCACTGGTCTATCCGCCAGGAGGGGCCCCAGCTGATTAAAGGTGGATTTATGAAGTGATGGATTCAGTTGAACTTACCAAAACCCACCTAACAGCAGCAGACCTGGGCTAAATGATGCTGTGTCACCACCACCAGAGCTGGGAACACAGTGGTGAGGAGCACAGACTGGCAGGGCTGGTCCATAGTGGCTTCCTTGCTCTAGCAGAGCCCCAGATGAGGATGTGAAGGGGTCACCACCTTCCAAATGGCTTCCAACAGCCTGATCCTCTTAAAACTCCAATGTTCACATCTCTGTCCTCTCCTGGACCCAGGAAATCACCCTACTTTAATTGTTTTAAGTATTTCCCATCAAATGAAGGGTACATTAAGTGTGTTAGAAAAATATTTTTAAAAGGCAAACAATCCCAAAACTACTCTCTGGGGCCACAGTTTAGAAATAAAATAATCTTCATTTTTAAATTTCGAATTGTTTCATGCTCGCTGGGGTTCCTTCCTTCAGGTTTCTCAATTTCACAATTGGTGGAAACACCCAAAATTATTATAAATTCTAAAATGATACAGCGCTGAAAGGTAAAGTTGTGAGAAGAACCCATATTTGGGACACTGAACTATTTTTTAAGAACAGATAAGAACTATGAGCCCACTAAGTATTTCTACCCCAAACAAACTAATTATAGGCATTTGGGTTGCTTTCTAGCTTATCTGTTGTATTTTGATCCTATTTTTCCTTTCTGAACCAATAGATTTGGCTTTTAATGGCTGGTACAGCCTTTTTCAAATATCAATTGTTTACAGTAAATAATTTTAAACTTTACTTTCCAAAATATGCTTAAATATAATAATTTAGTATTATACAAAATTTTGGATTTCATGTTCCAAATATTATCAATGGAATGAGGATTTTACGGGAATCTTGTTTAACTCAGTTTTACTATCTGAGATTATAATAATAAATACTGCAGGTGGGAAAATAGTTGTGAATTTGCACAGTTGAGCAGAGAAACTCAAACCTTTTGGTTACGAGACTGGCATTCCAGGAATGGCCAGCAGGGAGTGATAACACTCTACAGAAAACATGAGATTTAGCTCAGTGAAGACACAGGAAGGAACAATCCTCTACCAGGCACATTTAGCTTCCATCAGGAAGAAGATGTCTCAGCAGACTTCACAGTTCCTGGAAAATTTTCCAATTTCTTATAAAAGCATAATCACTAACATAACCTCAATTTTTAAGATTTCATTATACACAATTTATGATGTGAAATTTTTATCCAGCTTTATCCCAAATCAGTTAAAAATTTGAAACTGAAAGATAACACAATAATACATAAATTTCAGTGTGCCAATTTTATATACATTTGAGGGCTAAAATCAGCCTAAAGCAGCCAGGGTGCCCTTTCTTTCTAAACTTGTTTAGCCTTGAAAATTGAGAATGCAGACGTGTTTCTGTCACTTTCAGGATTAGCTTCTTTATGCAAACACAAACACCTGATTTATTCTTAGAAACCAAACTGAACATGCTGATATCAGCACAAAGATCCATCAGTGAGAGCAAACATAAACAAACCAGTTTCCTCATCTCAGAAACCTGAGTCCAAAGTCTCACT